TCTTGAGTGTGGCTGGGAAATCGGCCACAGCCCACGTCCTGAGTGACGAGCACTCCTTGATCTCGAGACGCTCGATGCCGGATATGTTGGCCGGGAGGGACTCCAAAGAGTTGCAACTCAGTATCTCGAGACGCTTGAGCATCCTGGGAATGCCACTTTCAGGGAAGGCCACGAACCTCTGGCAATTTTTAATAATCAGCTCGCGTAAGGACTCCAATTCACTCAGGTTGTTCGGGAGAGAGTCCAGGTTCGTGCAACGGAATAATTCAAGGACTTCGAGGTTCGGTGGTAGGTGATGGTCCCCCTGTCCTAACGACACCAGCTGCGAACAGCTGGCGATGACGAGGCGCCTCAGGCGGGCCAGGTGCTGATTGAGCCGGACACCTTCGGGCCACAAGGAAAGCAGCTCGCTGCAGCTGCAGCACTCTAGGACCTCGAGTGCCACCAGGGACTGCATGACCTCGGCCGGCAGATGAGATAAGCCGAATATGGACTCAATCTTAAGGTAGTTGAGGGACTCCAGGCCCGAGAACCTTTCCAGCAAGACCATGTCGCATTCCTCGACGTCCAAAGTGCGAAGAGCAGGGAAGGTCAGCGGAGAGACTTCAGCCAGCTTCCCACATCTGAAAATCGAGAGGTGTTGCAAATTAGGGAACTCAATGTTTCCACACGAGCTGCCAGTGGGGCCGGTCCATTTTTGCCACTCGGGCATATTGTCGAATCTCAGATTCTCGAGCTTTGGGAATGGGGTTACGATGGCGCCAGTCCCGTAGAATTCGGTTCCCACCTGTTTAATTTTGGGCATGCCCCCAACTCGTAGGTGTTTGAGATCGGGAAGCTGTCCAAGAGGCGGCAGGGACGAGCACTCCGAGCAGTTGCCGATGCTTATGCTCGACAATTTACGAAAGGCAGGATCCCCGATCCAGCTCGGGAAGTTCGATCCCCTATAAAACTCGATCTTGAGGCTTTTTAGGTTCTCGTGTGGTAAAAGATGGTCGATCACATCCTCCTCGGGAATTTTGTCATTGGAGTTGTCGATCTCATTTCCCCACATAAGCTGTAACTCATCGAGATCATTCTTGCATCTAAAGTTAGCCTCCTTCACGTCCTCAATATCCATCACATTCTGAAGCTCGAAAATGGCCAGGGATCTACACAGATGCCTCAGGTCCCGCAGTTGTTTCAGCCCCAAACAGCCTCCTTCTTTGCTGAGAACAATTTTCGGCAGAGTCTGGAGATTCCTCAGGTTACCGATCTCGACCGGCATATCCTTCAGCTGATCGGTGTTTGAGTTGTCCAGATGCCGCAAGTTTGAGAGGTTCCCCAACGTGGGAGGCAGCTTGCATATAAAGCGGCAGTTACGTAAAGACAAAGTCTGCAGATGGAGAAGAGCGCTCAAAGTATAGGGCAACGTGACAATGGAGGTCCCGGACAGGTTGAGGTAGCGTAAATGCAGCAAGTTGCAGATGGAGCTGGGAAGCTCGGTGATGGAATAGCCGCTCAGGGACAACACTCTCAGGCTGCTGAGCTTTGGCACCAACTCCACCAGAATACGGTTCGACAGGTAGAATGGGGGCCAGACGAGGGAGTTCTGGACGGGCATAGGCAGAAACGTCCTCAAGCCCTGGACCTGATAGAAAGTGTGGAATTTCTGGAGAACCTCGTACTCATGGCGGAGGAAGGAGCCATGGCGGGCCTTCTCAGGCACGCGGTACTCCTGACTGGTGTCCATCTTCTCGTCCAGCCGATAGCAGGTCCCCCCCGCCACGAACTGGGCCAGGTCGTTTATGAGGTCGTGCATGACAAAGCTCGATTCGCTGCCCCCCAGGCGCTGGAAGAAAGACCTCGACAGCAGCTCATTGAAATACTGGAGGCCGAGCTCCTCCTTGCGCACCCTCGGGTTCGGCTGCTCGAGAAACCCCTCCCCCATCCACAGGAGCACGAGCTCATCCCGGTCAAACTCATAATCTTTGGGGAAAATGGAGCAGTAGGCGAACAAATGCTTCAAATGAGACGGGAGGTGGTGGTAACTGAGCCTCAAGACGGGGAGGATATTGTGGTGCTCGGGCAAATCCCATATCTTGCTACTCAGTA